TAGAAGAGCATAAGAAAGAAGATATGGAATAGTACATATTAAATTAGATCATATAATATAATATATATTAGTTTAAAGGTAATCTTCAAAAAAAGTCCAAATATTTTGGTTTATTGGTAATAAATAATGAAAAAACCCTAAAATTTTGATTAATTAATGAAAAAGTCCCAAAATTTGGATTAATTAACGAAAAAAGACGAGATACCGGCTAAATTTGTGAAACCGGCCACGAAGGGCTAATCCGAAGTTTTAGCCGGTAATTTGTCCTTTTTTGTAAACAAAATTTAATTTGAGACTAAATCATAAACGCCTAAAATATTGGGACTTTTTCGCAGATTTCCCTTTAAAATTTTATTAAGAAAACTCCACCCACATAAAACATAGTATCAATTTGAAAGTTGAATGATCCCCTGTTGTTTAATCTTATCGACATCATGTGAATATAAAATCAAAATCAAAATGGTTGCTGATGGAAAAGAACACACCACAGTATATTAAAGAAGAAGCAAACCCCACGGATTCTTTTTGCATTTCTTTTTCCTTATAAAAGCATGGTAGATGAACTAAAACTTAAACCCCATTAGAATCAAACACACACTTGATCAAGATCTCAACTCTCAAGTCTCAACAATGGTGCCAATCAGCAACTTCTTATTCATCTTCATCACCTCATTTAATTCCTTTTATCGATTTGCTCGTCAACACCCTGTCCGTGTTAGTTTCAGTCCGCATGGTAACATTTATCTTGAATTTGATGTTACACGTGTACCTCCTCTTTGAAATCCGTTTATTCAGTTTATACCCAAACACCTCGACACCATTCGATCGTCTCTGAGAATTTGTCAATCGGAAGTCCTCCTGCGATGGCGTTTGTTTGTTCTTCCGTTGAGAGTGAGATAGAGAGAAAGAGTTAGAGAGAAAAAGTGAGTGAGATCGAAGCAAGTTCTTCCCCTGTAAATCTTCGATATCACCAAAGATGCCCAAACCCTAATTGATGGCGAAATCTGGTGATCAAATTCCAATAGCTCCCACCATCTGTGACATTCACCAAGAAAACCCCATCACTGGATGTCTGGATCCACCAATTTCGGTGATTTAGCCGAGAATATAGTTACAGTTGTCGATGATATGGGTTCGGCTGCAACCGTTGACCGGTTCCTTTGTTTACGTTCGCCGGTGTATCTTTTGCATTGATCTTGCCGATACTGTCGATGTTGATTTGTAGCGAATAGAATTATAGATAATCAATCGCAAATTGATGTTGCTAACTATTCATCGTAAATGTTAGTTAATGGTGAGATAAATCTTAATGGTTTTTTTACAGGATATAAAATTCTGGGGTTCAGTTCAAATATTGTCTTGCACGAGGATCTTAAGGTGGAAAAATTTATCAACTTATACCTCTCCCTCTCAAAGTAGATTTTTTTTTTTGTTACTTTGGTATAATTATAAAACATTTTTTGTATATTACAATCTTGTTATCATCCGTGATTGGGTCGAAACAAAGCCCAATTGAAGGGTTCCATCGACTAATTACATAATTTTCACAATTAAGCAGACAGAGAATTCCATTATATGAACCAACAATATTGACATTTCTGCTTGGAAACTTGACTAGTGTTATGCTTTATATCGGGCATACCCAGAACGTACGCCGCACGATACTGGCCAAAGGAGGCATACACTGAGCTCTGAGTACGTCAGGCCCATTGATTTTTGTTGACTTTTAGGTTTTGGATCATATTTAGACTACTAGGCTTTTGCGCATGTTGGGCCACTAGTCCTTTTGACTTTGGGTCATTGTTAGGGTTTGGGTCTTTTGTATTTGCGCCCATGATGGGCTTTTGAGTATTATTTAGGAATTTGGGTCATGTTGGGCTTTTGGAGCCATTGAGTTGGGCCATGGTTATTGGACCAAGTAAGGAAATGATACTTTTAACATGGGAGTCGAACAAATGAATCCAATTCCTAGTTATGGTTTATGGCCCAATTATTAATTAGGGTTTTATGTGAGTGATTAGCATAGGGATTTTCCAGATCATTAGTCCGATCTTTTATCTTGTGGTTTCAGCAATTGATGTGAGTTTCCTTCACTGTATCTGTGAGTTGAAAGCACCAATGTTGGCCCACTAGTTTATGATATAGTATGATGATTGTCTTTGTGACAACTGTCAGTTATGCATTTATTTGTTTGATGGCTCTGTGATTCTTTTGTTATGATATTATATGGTAGCGGTAGGGGTGAAAGAGACTCGGTGTCCGGTTGAAATAAACCGAAGAGGATTGCAAGCACATAAATATGTTTAACTGTATCCGGTTGAAATAGATCATAGGGGATTGCAAGCACCCAAATATGATTGATTGTATGTTTGTATGGTATGCGGTATTTTGGGGAACGCACTAAGCTTCGTACTTACTGTTTATGTTTCAAATGTTTTTCATGCATTCTTGGTTCGCGAGGGAAGGGTCTTGGTTTGATCGCAGCGCATCCATCCATATTTCCGCATTTTATGAATTTGAAATTGTATTCTGATAACTATTTTTACTCTTATCTACTTTGAAATGATTAAATAGTGTTTATGGTTGATTTTTAAAAATAAACTTTTTACCTCGCTTTCTCCTTTTTAAAAATACTAAAATAAATAATTTTAATACTTATTTGAAAGAAGTAGCTAAACTCGCTTTCTCTCTTTTTTTTTTTTTTTTTGGCAAAAAAAGACGGCTTACCTCGCACAACAACTAGGGTTTGAACATATGTATCCATGTCAAATAAGAAAGAAGTATCATTGATGCCCACTAGTCTCAATCGTACCCCTGTATTAGGATTATAAACTTGAACCCGAGCAACAAATCACCATTGCTGGTCAGTTCCAAAGCTTTAGTTAGATCTCCTTCAGCTTGATTTGTTTTTTTTTTTTTTTATTTATTGAAAAACCAACGACCAAGAAGCATCTACATCTCTCCTCACCCAAATCTAAGTACCATCGATAACCCTAGAAATCACAGCTAGAGAACCTTTGATGGTTGCTAATCTTCGGGTTTCCCAACTGGGTTTTGGCAAAAGCAGTCATACCAAAAACATGAGTCCTCAAATCCAATGTCAGTATATAACGAAGTTGTACTTCTTGTGAATAAGGAAAACAACGTCCTACCACCCAATGCAATACCCCATTGAGATAAGACGCCCCTGATAACACTTTATTATACAAAGGCATTGGGGAAGCAATCGGACACCACGCACGTGTCTTCATGGCATAAACAAATGTACTTTCTACAATTCTCATGGCATAAACAAATATGGTTATATGGGTATACTCACAATCTTGTTATCATCAATTAGTTAACACCAAGCCTGATCCCCATCCCGTAAATGTATCTCTGAGGACAATCAAGCAGGGTTAGTTGGCAAGGGTTCCATAAACTCATTATACCTTTTACAAACTCAATCAAACAGATAATTTTGTTACATGAACCAACAACATTGACATTTCCGAGTGGAAACTTGAATGTTGTATACCAATGTATCCACACAATGGCAATTGGTCTTCTGCATGTAACGTACAAAAGAAGTCAACGCCATATTCTTCTATGTGTTTATGTTTAAGTCTGTGTGTGAACAGGATTCTTTGCTGGGATCGAGAAGTGTGCATCCGGATGAAACCGGGGTTATCAATACAAGAACGTAATGATTTGGAGACTGATCTAAACCGGAGAAGGGATTTGGGAGGTAGTGATCTTGTCAAGATTTCAACCATCAACTCTTCACATAGATAACCTGACATTGTGTGATTCTGTGTTTTCTAGCTAGATAAAATTAGTAGTAGTGATGAGATGTCAAAACATTTTTTGTTGTTTTTTTAAGCTTTCAAAAAGAATATTTGTTTAATCAAATTGTACATTCTTTTTGAATGAAATCACGTATATTAGAATTTTGCTTGCTTTTCAAGATTTCCTAAAAAAAAAATTCCAAAGATTACAATGCTGGAAAATATACTTTTGTAAGAGTCTATATATTTCTTAGAGATGTTTTTCATTGCTTATTTTGTTCTTGTTATGATATATATTTCAGTTACCAAACAACATGCAAAATCACAAGTTTAAGCCAAGAAAATCTAAATTTAAAAGGGCATAGCAATTAATCACCGGATCAAGAAGAGTGTCTTAAGAAAAATCGTCGAAGTGAGGGACCAAAGGACTATTGCGACTTGCGAGGAGGGAAAAGATACAGCTCGTTGGGTGTAAGGCTTAGATGCTTCACAATTCACAAAGGTTCACTATAAATAAATAAATTAAAAAAAAAAAAAAAAAAAAAAAAAAGAAGGAATTTTTCCAATATACTTCCTTTTATTTAAAAATAAATTGTTCCCAAGATTTGCCAATATACTTCCTTAAGACAATAAATATTGAAATCGGTTACCATATTGATCCAAGGATATATACTCTTGTAGTCTTGTTATTAAGTCCATGTTGTGCAGGAGATAATAGAGAATATGAGAGATAGAGAGAGATAATGTTTAGAAATACGAGTTGCATTCAAACCGGTTCGTCTCTGCTATGTATTTTAGGGTTCGTTAATTATCCAACTAGGTGCAATCTTCATTAGTTTTATTTATGTTTTGATACATAGAAAGGGTCATTCCGATATCAACCCATCTATTTCACAATCTCACATTCTTAGCTAAACAGGCTTGGATTGAATTGCAATTTTCAACCCATTTAATTACAAAGTCAACACTAACCCAACCCACATATGAGATGCTCTTATATCTGAAACTTGAATCGAACGAATGCTTCATCATTTTCCCAAATGATGGGTTTCTTTAACATTCAAATTAACCGTTCACCAAGCTACAATTTTGTTCCTAACATGACAAAACCGATTAAAAGGAATCAATTTAGCAACACACCATCGATCTTGATGCCTAAAGCTCAAAACAAACATAAAAACCCTTAAGTTTTTGCTTAGCATCCGACATTTAACTCAATTTCATTTCTCATCTTCATGTGCAAGTCTCAGTTTTCTAAAACAACAAATAGAAATGTGAACAACAAATATAAGATCTGAACAAACAACCTCTAACCAATGTACAACAACTAGGAAACACATATTTCCTCCATCTTACCAAATCAACAACCCACAAAACACATTGTACACCTGTTAGCCTGAAAACAAAAAACAAACGTACACAATGTTATATCGCCTACAAGTTCAAAAACCTTAAACCAATAAGCGTAATACACTATCAGTTATAGTAAAAGTTATTTCAGACCTGAAACACCACCACCATGATGCCGACCAATGTACATCATGGTTTTTATTTACAAGTGGCAAATCCGCCTTCTCATTCCTAGCTTCTAGAAGCTTTTCACTGTTCGATTTCCATCAAAATAACACGATTGGAAGTGTAATAAACTACAATTAATCATTAGAAAAATCAAATTTAATGTATTGATTGATGATTTTAGCGTACCTGGTGTAGGGTAGTGGACAGAATATGATAACATAATTAGCTCCGGCACATGTGAAAGTGCTGGTTTTATCGTCATAAGCATAGCTGTATGAACGTGGGCAAACGTGCTTAAAATACTGTGAGTAGTCCGTCGGCGGGCAAGTTTCCGGCGTGTTATACCCTTCACTACAACAAAACCTTGGATCCCCAAACGCCTCACACGCGCTCTTACACGCCACCACAGTCCCGACTCCTACTCGAACGCGCCACCCTCAGCGCAGCGGGGCAAGCGGCGTTTAAGTCAACTAAACAACCGGTGGAACTGCATCCTCCGCTCGTAGCGTTTCTGGGAATCACCAGCATCGGGAGGTTATACCCGTCGACCAAACTGACGTCATAGAAATCAAGGCCTTGGTCGCCGTTGAGTGTGAATTCCACTAGCGTGGCGGGAGGTTCGGCTCCGCGGCCTTCGCACTCGACTTTGCCGGAACCGCAATCGGCGGTGACGCAAGAGAATTTTCCGGTTGAATCTGTCCGGCAATCGGTACGACCCCATAACCGACCCGACCAAGCTACGGGTATTCGTAGGGTTCTTGATTTACCGGGGTTTAAAGCAAAACCAGTGGGATTTAACACGGTTCTATCAGCGCCGGTGAGTATCCCCGGCCATATAGTGTGCCGACATCTGTTCACGATCTTAAACGTCGTCGATTCGACCACTGCAGCCATTAAACAAAAGAAAATATCGTCAAGAAATTTTACTGGGGATTAGTGGGGAAAAGAAAAACATACCTGTAACTAATGAAAATGTGAAGATTAGAATGAGAAGGATTGGAATTGGAGGGATATGAAGACGATTCATTTGGGAAGATGGATTAATTAGGGATTGAGATCGGAATGGAGTTTGAAAAGGGAAGAAAAGGGAAAGGCGACAGAGTAGAATAGCAGGGATTTTGCCGATTTCGATTGGACTTGAACTTATTCTTCCCACCAAAAAATAGTTTTTGTACATTTGGGATTCTAGATTACTACTAGGACTTTATGTCAAAATCCAATAAATACTATCAATGTCACGTTTAGTTGTTTACTAACTAAAATAATATCACACTCATGTTCAAACAATATGGAAATGATGTCGTTACGTGTGCATCTTTCATACAGGATAATTCTACTTTGCACATAAAAACCATTTTAGTCGAATACTGATGCTTTTGGCAATATCATCTCTTTAGAGACTAAAGGGTTGTTTGTTTCGTTTGATTCCTAAGTAATTGAAAGGGATTGTGTGCATCTTTCATACAGGATAATTCTACTTTGCATATAAAAACCATTTTAGTCGAATACTGATGCTTTTGGCAATATCATCTCTTTAGAGACTAAATGGTTGTTTGTTTCGTTTGATTCCTAAGTAATGGAAAGGGATTGGAAACTAAAATTCAATACAAAACGTGTTTGACTAACAGAATGAATAAAATATGATTTTCATAATTACTTTTTAATTCTGTATATGAAATATTTCTCATTCATTCTTTGTCTATAAGGAATCCACATTCTGTTTTTTTATTTTATTAATTTTTTTATTTTTATTTTTTAATTACACAATTATCCTTCCATATATATATGCGGTTCTAGTAAACCAAAATAAACTATGTGATTTTTCATATCTTTTCTACGGTTACCTTTTTCTATCGATTATATTTTTCTCCAATCAGTATTTGTAAAAAAAAATCATCTATCGATCATATCTTTTCTACAATTACTGCCGTATTTCATCTCTGGCTCATCATTCTTGTACTGCTTTGGTGTATCTATCATATTCGTTTACAGGTAAACATCTCATGTTCAATTTTTCTGCAATTAACTGTGTTCAACCCTTTTTTATATATATATATATATATATATATATATATATATATATATATTTGCAATATATGATTCATCTTTGTCTGATAGAAAATAGCATACTTTTTTAACATTTGTGCTGCTTACTACATCTCTAGTTTCTTTGTGTGAAGTATGAACAATTTTCTTTACATGCTATGTACGTTTATTGTCGTCGTATTATAAAAGTTATTTTCTAATTCCTTTGTAAAATCAGCAAACTAAACAGAAAACAGATTCAATTCTTTGCCCTCCAAACGCATTTCAGATTCTAGTGATTTCAATTCCTTCAAATTCCAATTCTTTTGACAGATTCCATTCCTTCAAAAAATATTCTGCGAAACAAACGTTACCTAAGTTTTTTTAGGTTGGTATAATAAAATGGGTTATTTCCAATAAAGACCCCATATTTATTGTTTTTTTCGTTTTAAACCAAGAAGGTTTGTTTTTTCCTTAAAAAACCACACATTTTGCAAAACCTTGTTTTTTTTGTCTTGTAACCGGTTGAGTAGGTACCCAACAATCGTTGTATCCTACTTTCCACTAAACAATTACACCAGTCGACTGTATCGTCCATTCATCAATAAAATTGAATTTCTCCGACTGTATCGTCCATTCATCAATAAAATTGAATTTCTCCCCAAATCAATTCCCCCAATTGACTGGATGATCAGAAGCTGCCGTATGTAGCAAAAGTGGAGAAGCTTGAATCGGACGCCAAAGGAAGCAATGTAAAAGTTCGCATACAGTGGTATTACCAATCAGAGGAATCGATCGGTGGTCGGAGATAGTTTCACGCTACTAAAGAGGTTTTCCTCTCCAATCACCATGATGTTCAGATAGCGTCGATACAATCGAAGGCAGAGTGTTCTCATTAAATCATGTTGCACAAGAGCTTTGTCCACATAATAGTTGGCAATCACAAGCGAATGTTTCCTGCAATCAAAGAAAAAGCATATGACCAAACGACTCTTTGTGCATAAGGGTAATTTATTTATGTAGAAGTGAAATTAGAAGCCAAGTACCTGATTGGCAACAGAGTTGCAGGATTTTTTGCAGGAGAGTTCAAAGAGGTGGTTTATGGTGGCTAATCCCTCTTCATCATCCTTATATAAATAGAACCACATGTCCATAAGCATTATAGTCGCTATCCTCTGTTCCAGGAAACAAAACCCAAGTCCAAGTAACATTGCTTGATTACATATTCTTCTTTGAATTGTTTAAACTGATGAAACATAGCAGTTACATCTTAGTGGCTCAAAAGTTTCAACTGATATGTATTGAATTGTTTAAAGGTGAACCTCTCTTTGTAGATTGACCAATTGTGACATTAGCTCCAATAATACCTCCTGATCTTACATGAACATTACCACCTGAAATGCGTATGATCCTACATGAACAACCAAGCAATTCTTATTGAATTTCCTAAACAACAATGGTTTTAACTTACCGGATGTTATGTTTCTGGTTACGTCGGCAGACGAACCTTGTGACATTTCTGAATTTCTCTGGTGATGAAGCTTGCGACACTTGAATATTTGACTTCCGAGAAATGGGGTTGAAAATGGATTTTGAGGAGTTAATAATATTGCTTAATCGCTTGATAATAATTGCCATTTATGACATGTACCGGAAATATGGATTTTGAGGGTTGAAGATCGACACTGAGGTTCTTGAAGTCGACAACCTCACAGACGAAACAATGAACGAATGGAAGGGAATAGTCGACTGGTTCGATTGTAGGTTACACTCGTATGATAACATCGAATGAACGAATCGATGAGGGGAATCAAATGGAGGAATTGATTTTCGGAGAAATACATTTTTGTGGTTCGATTGTAGGTTATAGTCGACTGGTCGAATGTTTGAAAGGAAAGAAGGATAAAGCAATTGCTGGGTACCCACTCAACCGGTTAGAAGACAAAAAAAAAAAAAGTTTTTGCAAAATGTGTGGTTTTTTAAGGAAAAAACAAACATTTTGGTTTAAAACAAAAAAAACAATAAATATGGGGTCTTTATTGGAAATAACCCTAATAAAATAGTAATGTAGTGGTTCAAAATCAAATCATTTTTAAACAATAAACATAAAGTTATGCATTGATAATCTACTTAACAAACAACAATGACTTCCTCAACAATAACAGTTAAGTTTAACCATGATGGGAAAAAAAAATTGTTATTGACATAAAAGCCCCAAATTTTACACAAAATAGTTGGTTATGCCCAAAGTCGGATTTTTTGTGCATTAATGCCCAAACATACCGGGAAATTTGTTCAATTTTTCCCCTTACCCTCATTTTACATTCCATGGCCGGTAGCCTAGCTGACTGGGAGGAAATATGCTTACTTGGAGCTGACGTGGTGTGTGCTTCTGGAAAAAAGAAAGGATAAAGAAAACGGGTCTAAAGGGTTTCGAACTTGGGTCTGTGGTTTTTCCAACATCGACTTCAACCATTGAGTTGGACGCAGTTTTGCGGTTTAAATGCTGAGAAATTATAGATAATAACCATAAACGATTGAAATAAACAACCCGGTGTGCTTCGATTTCAGATTGGGGATCTGGGTTTGTTCCTGAAAAACACATACACACAGACTGAAAGAGGAACTCCGATTTTATGGGTTTGTTCTTGATAAACATATACACACATATCAAAGAAGAATTCATATTTCAAAGAAGATTTTTTGAAACAACATTTTAGAACCCAGATGAACACATAGTGTGTGTGTGTGTGTGTTTTTCTCGTTAATTGATAGGTTGAGATTCATAGATGCCCCAAGTCTTCTTCAATCGAGCACCAAGCCCCACCGCTTATACCACCAATGTTCTTGAAATTTTGGATTATGAAAATCTAGGATTTTGAAGAGAACACAAATCTGGGTTTTTGAAGATGAACACATAGTGTGTGTATGTGTGTCTTCTCGTTAACTGATGGGTTCAGATTCAGAGATGCACCAAGCCGTCTTCAATCGAGCAATAAGCCCCACCCCTTATTGCCCTTTTTTTTTTTAATCGATTTCAGCTAGGTTCTTCAAAAAGGAATATGATTTCAGGCATTTATGATGAATCGATTAGCAGCACTGGAGAGGATGATGAGCAATAGATGGGGTTTAGAGTTTGCGATTTAGTTTTTTCTTCCATTTCCTTTTTTTTTTGGATGAAGATGGAGTGTCGTTACCGGGATAATATACATCAAATATATTAAGTAAGGATATAAAACACAAATTTCCATTTAGATTAGTGGTTACAGCTGCTCCTCGAAACGTAATAGACCTTGGTTCGAACCTTGCTAGCCTCGCCCTTTGTTTTTGTTATTCGTAAAAGGATGCCAGCCATGTCCACATCTGCTAGTCCACTTCCACGTCAGTCCCCTGGTCCAAAGTCAGGTAAGGTTACCGACTTTAGAGGGTAAAATTCGAATAAAGGGCATAAGTGAACAAATTTTCCGGTAATTAAGGCACATTAACGCACCAAAAAATGGAGAATGGGCATAACCAAGCATTTTTTGTAAATTTAGGGGTTTTTATGACAATAACCCGAAAAAAAAATTGAGATTGCATTGGCTCTTTTCACCGGGTCACGGTTCAACTGTCCGGATCGACCCAGGTGTTAAAACATTGGCAATGAAGATGTCGTTCAACATGAGATTGGATTTTGGTGTATTTGTGTTAATGATATTTTAATTAAGCATTAAGCTATGAAGATTATTGCTAAAAGTAGCCACTAACTTTTGGTGATTACATAAAGATATCGTGCATTTATATTAATGATTATACACATATATTAAATCCCTTTGGATTTAGGAACAATGCTTTTTCTGTGATTCTCATTTTGATCACAATATTTGTTTTTTCTAAGTTTCACCACTGTAATGTTTCCTTGTCACTTAAATATGAGGCATGCGTCACCATTAAACCGATTGTCATTCCCTTTTGCATTCGTCTTTCCCTTAATTTCTGATTTCTTCTTCGTCTTTTCTTTGCTTCCAAGAATTTTGTGGCTTGTCGGTGCAGTGATTTTTGAGGTTTCGCAACGATGCGGATGGCTGTTTCGTCGCACCCAACCATCAATTTCAAGAAAGTATCTATTTTGATTTGGGAGTTGGGTATGTTATATATGTTCTGTACATGTTCATACCCGTTTTTTTATGCTTGGAAGCAATTCTTTCTTTCGATTTTGGGTTAGTTGTTTTTTTTTCTTTTCAATTTTTGGTCTCGGTCTCTATCGTGAATCACTTTGGGTTAGGGTCCGATTGGGTTTACTTTCACTATTTATGAATTTTCTAATTTTGGTCTAGATACGTAGTATCAGTATTACAAATTGGATTAATTGTTCATCTAATTAGGATAGTAATCTTGATACACCTATTCCTTCTATCAAGGTGATGATCCTTCAATTTCAGATCAGCGCCTCAAATCCGAATGTAAGATGTAAAGGTTAAGGTATAGAAGAAGGGTGAATTATACACCTATTTTTTACGTATCTATTGTTTTGTTTCTTTCTAACATGTTGATGTGTTCTATGTTTTTGTTTATTTTGATGATGATTTTGAGTGCTCTTCAGGGTAAATAGTGTCTCTGTGTGATTTTTGTTATCAATCTATTTACTTTGGTATGTCTCCTATATCATGTTTCTGCTGTTAATGGTACTTTATTATGGTAAATGTAAGCAAACAGCAATGATTCAAATGAAACGATGTTGTAATTCATACCGTCTCATTTTTGGTTTGTGTGGGCAAGTTTTACTAACATACCATAGTTTTGGTTACAAATTCAAATAAATAAATAAATAAATAAACAAATAAACTAGTTGTCCATCAATTTTTAGAGGTAGTAGCTGAGACTCCATAATTAATGAACAATGTAGGTTTCCTTCCCTTCCAATATGCACACTAGGGATGAGCATCAGAACCGGGTACCCGCTTTTGGAACCGGAACCGCCTTGGAACTGCCGGTTCTGGAACTGGAACTGCCTTAAGCGGTTCCGGTTCCGGTTCCTAAAGTTATGGAACCGCCTTAAGCGGTTCCGGTTCCAATTCTCATTTTTTTGGAACCGCTACCCGCTGGGTACCCGCCGAAACCGGTTTATATATATATATATATATATATATATATATATATATATATATATATATATATATATATATATATATATATATATATATATATATTGGTATTTCATATAAATATGTGTGTGTTACTTATGTCCCTTTTTGGTCCGAATTGATTCGATTTGGATCGAACTAAGTTGCGGTTTTATCGAAAAAAGTTAAAAAAGTTAATGTAACCGGGTTACCCGCTCCCGGAACCGGAACCGCCGGTTCCGGGACTGGATCCAAAAATTTAAGAACCGTCTAGACCGATTCCGGTTCCGGTTCTAACTTTTTAGGAACCACCGGTTCCGGTTCCGGTTCCGGTTCTCGCCAAATGAGGCGGGTACCCACCTATGCTCATCCCTAATGCACACATTCAATCATATTGTTATCTTCTTATTGATTACATTTACAAATGTGTTGTTTGATTTCTTAGGTTTCAATATGCAAATCTCCATTGTTTATCAGCCCTTCCTGGATCGGAGTTAGAACATCCTTTGCAACATGACGACTCAAGGTTCATTGACGGTTTCAATACCACGGGCTTGATAAAATTTGGACCGGAAAACAAAATCTTCATACCAGTCTTTTTGATGGTTATGATTTTGGATTTTTGCTTAGTTATGTAAAGAATAGGACTCTGATGGAGGATGCGCTTTCTCATGATTGTAATTGTGTTATAGCCAACATTTTGGCTACCAAGTTTAACACAACATTCAACCCCTCATAATTTTAGTAGGTAAATCTTACAAATAGAGACGTATTTTAGTTATTAAAATATTAACGGTAATAGTTTTTTGTTTAATAATACTCTACAATTGTTATCTTTGGATATGGTACATTTTATAATTGATAAATCAATGTAATTTAACTAAAAAGAACATTGATTCTTAATCAATTTTCTGTATCATAACTACAGGAAAGACCATTGGTTGCCATCGTGAAAATTTTATTTCTGAAAGGAGTTTAGTGGGAGATGTTTACGTAATTTTTACTCAGTGGACAATATGAGAAAACAGGGACAAGTATGTATTCCTAATGTTAAAAGGACGAAGATGCTATCTGTTTTGAAGATGTATATGCTCTTTTCAACGTTTTTTCCTTCTGCTCATTCGAAAAACCCCAGGATTTTACTACGGAGTATGAGAATTTCGGTTAGGGATTAGACTAGGTTATTAATGATCACGCACTTCTCGTAGGTTTTTACTTTGATTTATAATTTCCTTTATTTTGTTGTGTGAATTTTAATTAGGGTAAAATTTTCTCAGCTGTCTTGCCAAGACTGCAAGCTAAAAGTTGATTGTTCTGTGATTGCAATGTCTGTCTTATAATGGCAATATGGAAGAAGGGTAATGAAAAGCATTAGAGTGCGTTTAGTTGCGGAAAAATGAACCGTTTTCCGGAAATTTTTTCCAAGAAAAATGAGAATTTTGAAAACGCGTTTAGTTCGTCTATTTTTCTAAATTTTTCACGGAAAATGAAAATTTTCCGTTTTCTAAAATTACAAACAAGTTGGAAAATTTTGGAAAACTGATAATCATTGTTTTCCATATTTTTCTAATTCCAAATTTTTTCTATAAACACACACCCACTTCACCTCATCCACTTCTACCTACCCCCACCTTAACACCCCTCACCCCCACACACACACATACATACCCACCCCCACACACACACCCACACACACACCCACAAACACACACATACATACCCACCCACACACACACTCACCCGCACACACACACACCAACCCACACACACACATACATACCCATCCACACACACACCCCCACAAACACACACACATACATACCTACCCACACACACCCACCAACATACACATCCACACACCAACCCACACACACACACCTACAAACACACACACTTACACATACATACCTACCCCCCCCCCCCCACACACACACACACATACACACCCACCCCCACACACACCCACCCACCCACAAACACACACACACACACACCAACCCACAAACACACACACACATACATACCCACCCATACACACACACGTACATACCCACACACCCACACCTACCCCCACCCTCACAGACACACACACCCACACACACACAAACCTACACCTACCCCCACAAACACACATACACACACAAACACACACTCGCACCCCCACCCACCGAACACCACCACAACAATCATCGACCTACCATCACCACCACCACCACTAACCCGTCACTAGCACCACCACCATCACCACCACTGATAAAATTGACGCCGCCACCACCATCGCCTGTCATCACCACCACCGCCGCCGACCCGCTACCGTCACCGCCCCCACCCACACCCTACTACCACTACCGTTTTTTAAAAATGAAAACCGATAGAAAAATAGACATTTAAACACGTTTTCTAATTTTCTAAAACTAAAAATGAAAAATGAATAAGTTTAACTAAACGCGTTCTCTAAATTTTTCAATGAAAAATGAAAACGGAAAACGAAAATCGAAAAGGAAAAACAAAAAACGGAAAATGAAAATTGTTTTTCCGTAACTAAACGCAACCTTAACTTTTTGATGCTGCAGTGTCTATTAACTTCTCGAACGGGTTCCTATAAGTAGAACATTGATAAAATTTAAACTTATTCAATCTATATGTCACTGCTGTTGTAACATAATTTATACTTTTTTGGTGCAGAACTTTACACGGTTTTTGTTAGATGGAAATTTCATTTCTTTTAACATAGAGTTATCAAAGAAGGTCTATGTATGATTTACCTTTTATACTTCCACAATTATGAATTGATGTTGTTTATCTAGGACTTTAATGGCAGGAAATATGAATTTCAACGATATGAAGGTACCCGGGATGCTTGATGGTAGTGCATTGCTAAAGTTTGGAGCCATTGTTGGTATTGGATTGTATTCTTAAAGAATAATAGTCAATAGAAGGTAAAAACTTGAGCATTGGTGGAGGTTACACATGTAATTAAATTATATAATTGATCTTGAACGAATAAAAATTAAAGTCTTAGTATAAGTGATTAATAACAAGTGTTATGTATTATTTTCAGCATAACCCACCATTTACATTTCCTTTTACATGACATGATGAAATCTCCATAGGAATGAAAAGAAAACAAGTTGGCATAAAGTTATAGGAGGGGCCTCTAGATCATTTTGTATTTATTTGTTTACAGAAAGTCATTTATCTAAAATAATCTAATGCATGAGTATGCTTTTTTTAACCAATTAGCTTGCTTATTTTACTTAAGTCTATTTTACTTAAGGGGCATTTTTGTCAATTACCATTATGTTACCGAATTTGTTTTAACTTTTGACCCACAGGAAAAGAACGTAAGTTTTTTGTCTACTCATGGAACTGAAACTCGAAGTTCAGCTACATATTAAGAATATCGGCAATTGCGATTTCCATTCAAGTTCAGAAACATTTAATAAACCAGTGAGTCACAATCTCAAGATTTCATTGTTGCTTCTAGAAAAACTAATCATCCAATCAAAATCTACATCTTGCTAAACCATACACTCCATTTTCAAGCAACAAAAAACCCATTTGACTGATAAATCTGGAGTCTCCATTTTTGCAAGATGTTTTTATCAGCAACGACAAGAATGGTTCAAGAACTGGGTAAGTCATTTTGAACTGTGTTTTCAACACTTGCAAACAAATGGTTGAATAATCAAAGACTCAAGCAACAAGAAAAACTTATAAACTCAAAACACGAAATGTAACTAAGTTTCAGTGAGAACAGGATAAACGTACACAATTTCTCATCGGAATCTTCAAAATTGCCTGCCAGCAGCATCACCAACCAACGGCAATTTCGGTGTTCTTCCCAAAATCGAAAACACCAAGCTATAAACAAAGCAAATAACAACAAACACAAAAATCACATTGTGGCTTATCATCAAAATCTTTCCTCCGATTCCATGTGGCCCTGGATTGAATATTCTCTGAACCAACATCGGTAGAACCAACAGAACATCGAGCACCACCGCCTGCATCGCATTGAAACGAGCGTAACGGCTGGCATTCGTGTTACGGACAACGCCGATGTACAGCAACAAGAAAGCGAGGTAGCTTGCGTAAGGAATTGAACGGTAGAATGAGAGTAAAGGTAGCAAGGGCTCGAGAGCGAGGCCTAGGGTTCTGGGGTATTGGGCGAAGAGGAATCGGCCGTATTGGAGACCGTTGAAGAAGGGGAAAAAGTATGCTGCGGCTGAGATTAATCTGTCGGTGACCGGAGTTGAGTTGTTTGACGCTGAGATTATTGAACGTCGGCGTGATTGAGCGGTGGAATTTGAGCGGAGTGATAGCGATTGTGGTGGTGAAAGTGAAAGGATGTTTGATCTAAGAGGGTGAATCGAGATAGTTGACCGAGGGGTTTTTTGTGGCGGTGGTGATAATGATAGGCGGAGGAGGGGTATGGCTGCCATCGTTAGCGGTGGCGTTCTCTTCGGTTTCGACGGAGAAAGGGGGAATCAAGAGAAATGGAACAACCGTGCAAGGGTTTTAGAGATGCAGAAAGGATAACAGAAAATGTTTTAAGATGTAAACAGAATTACAAATATGTCCTTTCTCTCGAGTACACCCATACAATACCATTCAAATGTTATTCTTTGAATTTAGGGTTAAATACGTGAAAAGCCCCAGTCGGTTTCAGTTTCAGTTTTATCTTTAGAGATGTTTGGATACGGAAAAAATAGGTTGCTTATTGTTTATTGTTTAATCTCACCGTAATAGTCAAATTTAAGTCTTTTGATAGGAGTTTTTAAAAATCAGCTTATTGCGGTAGGAATAAGTAAAATAAACTGATTTTAATAAACAAAGGAAGAAATGTTTATTGTTTATTGTTTTTTGTTTATTGGTCATTTTACTAATATAAGCTGTTTTATTTTGCCAAACACTTAAATGTTTATTGCTTATTGCTTATTTACACTGCAATAAGCTAATCTAAACATATTTTTAAAAAATATTTATTCTCACCACAATAAACAAATAAACAATAAGCTAATAAGCTCCAAATTATTTATCCAACTCCCCTGTCAACTTTTTTTTTTTTTTTTCAAATCTTAGAGCACCCACATTAGTAGCTTGCAAATGTAATTGCAATGCCACATCTTCCATTATGCATGCCACATAAAATATAGAAAGCCTTGGAAACTTAAATTTAATATTAAATAATGTTTTTCTATTTCAATATTTTATTTATTTAAACTATCTTTACTATTATATATATATATATATATATATATATATATAATACAAGCTTATTTATATACATATTAATGTCGTCCATCTTTATTATTATTTTGTTATTTTATTTTAAAAAATATTATTTTAATTATAATAATTAAATTTATGTTTATTTATTATTGAGTAAATACTAATATGTAATATTATATATATATATAATATTATAAATTTATGTTTATTTATTATTGAGTAAATATTAATATGTAATATTATATATATATATATATATATATATATATATATATATATATATATATATATATATATATATATATAGTAATTGTTGATGTGGTAGTGGGTACCACTTTTAAAAGATGAGTGTTATTGCACTGGTATGAGTAATCATTGCAAAATTGATGTGTCACAATTGAAAGATTAGTGACATTGCACTGATGTAAATGGCCTTATGAGTTCAATATATATATTAATTACCAAAACTAGATTATAACGCATATACTACACAATTGACAAATTAAAAAAAAAACACTAAAATCGAATCCTTATTATAAATTTACAAATACTTATTTGTATACAACATTATATATTTTATTTGTCTATCATCATTATTTATAATTAATAGGTTAGAAACTTATCTACTACATGACTTGACAACTTAATAAGATATATATCCATAAAATTATTTATTGTAAAAGGATGTACAACAAATTAAAATTTACATAGACAAAAACTAAGAACCAACCATTAAAGGCCTTCTACAACCATAAAAATCAAATCTATGAAACTAAATTAAAACTAATGAGACATAAGTAAATAAGGTTAATAACATTGACTTTTGAGCTCTTTAGAAATCAAAAACCAAATTATACTTAGATTCCTAACGAAAGATCTAACTGTTAACCATAAAAACCGGACAAACTCATGATAACAACTATAATTATATAGAGAAGATCTTCATTTAAATTTTCTTAGGTTAGTAGGTGGCATCGCAATAAGTGCTTTAAAATATCAAAATGCTGCAGAAAAAAAAAATAATGCAAGCAATGAAGGAGTTTAAATTCATAAATTTAAATGCTAAAAATCAAAATATCTTTTATTATATGATCGAAATAGCAATATGCTTTACAAATCAAGTATGCAAATATGTAAAACTATTTTTTTTTAAACAAAAAGCAATTGAAATCAAGAAAGGGGTTTAAAAAATTTTATTTTATAAATGTATGAAAAACATACTTTAATAGAGTTTTAATTTTTTGGTTAAAAAGTAGAAATCGCATGCTAAATTACTACTATTAATTATAAAATGGTAAAATTTTGAAGATATATTGAACAAAAAGGATTTCATCATAACCCAAATGATAAATGAAACCAATTCTAATATTAAAATGAAATACGTGGAGCAATGACAATGTCATCTCCTTCTATGAAGTGGGTGGAGCAGCGAGAGACTTCTTTGTCTAATAAAAGACAACAGTTGAATTAGTATATCATGACTCCATAGGCATACAATCTTCATCTACAAATGAAACCATCAACCAATTCAAAACATCACAATTTTCACATGAGCCAACTTTTACTTTCAGTTTACACACCTCCAATCACGAGTTGATAATTAGTGAACAATATTTATAAATTTTCACCATAAAACACATTCTATCTTATTCAAGAGAAGAAACAGATCAACGAAGTCTTGATAATTCAACTAACTCTATCAAAGATCCTACATGCTGAAAAAAATATTTTCATAAAAAAAGCAATTAAAAAGTAGGTATCTCATGTATACCATTTAGGGATAAATTCGATAAGGTGAACATTAGTTTCAAGATAGATGGATTGGGAGTTGATATTACCCATCTCTATCTTCATTTAACCTAAAAATTGTTTGTTTCTTTAAATATTTCCATTGCTTCATAGGAAGCCTAATAAAAAATCAGAAATTTTAGTTAAAAAGTTGTGTATCTTATAAAAAAGTAAATAACAAAATTGTTTTTGATCAAGAAAAAAGAAACCAACAAAGAGACACCAAAACTACTCACAGTTTATGCAGACTGACGTGTATTATATTGATACGTGTAATTCTATGTACATATCACACAATTCATGCAAGCTATCAAAATTTATTACTTGTTGCCAAAATAATTTTATTTTTAGTTATATTATTTGCATAATAAAGCCGATAATATAAATGTAAACAAAATGTTTTACCGTATGAATGTTTTTGAAGTTCATCCACCAAACTCCATATCCACCATTCTTTTTCTTCGATGAACCAATCAATAGTAACCAATGGAGTGATTAAGGGAAGTATCACCTTAATCAGTCATCATAAGAACCAAATCTACTCATATAATCAAAAAATTAAACCTTAATCAGCAAGATTTTAGAAGACGAATTACCAGTAATAGGAACTTTGTTTCTACCTTCAAAATAGATATACTCATGGTGAAGACACATTGCAGAACCTAACTTCATACTTCATACTCTTATTAGGGAAAGAAAACAATCATTTGTGCCCTGTCCCATCACTCTTCAGACCCTTGGTTGCAGTGTCGTTGCTATCACCAGTTATGAATCAACGTTAGGTTTAAAAAACTTCCAATAATAACGCCAATCGTTGTCGGCGGAGGCTAGGGCTGTAAACAAACTGAACGTTCGGCGAACCGTTCGTGAACTGTTCGGCGGGAAGTTCGTTTATGTTCGTTCATTTAATAAATGAACGAACATGAACAAAAATTATCGTTCGTTTAGTTAAATGAACGAACATGAACAATGGTCACGTTCGTTTATTTATGTTCGTGAACGTTCGTTTATGATATTTGTTTACGTTCTTTTATGTTCGTTAGTTTAAGTTTATTTATATTCATCTATATTCAATTATTTTTTATTATATTGTTATATTATATGTTTGTTTATATTCATATATGTTCAATTGTGTTTTTTTTTATCTTTGTTCGTTTATGTTTGTTCGTTTATGTTCGTTTAGCATGTTCACGAACATGAACAAAGTAATTTGTTAAACGAACGAACATGAACAAGAAAATCTCGTTCGTTTATCTGTTCGTGTACGTTTGTTGTTCGGCTAACTTAAACGAACGAACATGAACAAGACCTTGTTCGTGTTCGTTTGGTTCGTTTACAGCCCTAGCGGAGGCACAACCAATCAAGAAACCAAAAAAATAACAAATGATAGCCGTGGAGTTGCAATCATATATGAAAGTGATATCATACCAAATAAAACCCTAGAATCTGAGGATACTAATTGGCATAATTTTAGGCTAACAATTTGGGTTTCTTTGTATTTAAAATAGGAATTTGAATGACTAAAAGTTGCCTAAAATTCGTCTTTTACAATTTATGTAGAAGATGGGCGGGAAATAATTTCATGAGATCTTATAAAAGTGCCACGTGACATGTTATTCATGTAAAAAAACGAAATGCGGCATTTTAATGAGTCTTTTATTAGAATAGAAGATTGGTATGTGAGAGGGTTCACTATTCATTTAACCTAAGAGGCAAAATGATTTAATATTTTCAATTCTTTTTTTTTTCATGCCTTTACTTTTATTTGTTTTTATATTTTGTACCCCTAAACTAATTTTGATTTAACAATTGTTATCCTTATAATTTTAAAATTTATATATATTTATATTCTTTCTCCTTAATTAATTTTTATTTAACAGTTTTCAACCTTTATAATTTTAAAGTTAAATTATTAGTATTATATACATTATAATTTAGTCCATTACTATATTTTAAAGTTAAACTTTGGCCCCATTATATAATTTTTTAATATTCTTTTTTTTATTAATTTTCTAAAGATACTTTCAAGTCAATTGTTTGTATCTATGTCTTATTTTGATATTTTTGTGCTCCACTTTATATGATTTAATCGTCTTCATTGTATATATGGTATCAAACTAGCAACGCGTTGATAGTCGAAACTCTAGTTATCTTTCAAATGCTAAACAATTAGAAGATGAGAAATGTCATGAAGTTATTAAATCCATATGGATTCATCAAGTTACATAAGAAATGTCATAAGAAACAATGAGGGTCGGCCCCGACATTTTGAAGGCTCTGTATGATTAATATACTTTGGGCGTTAAATTTTTCAATATATTATATATATATATATATATATATATATATATATATATATATATATATATATATATATATATATATATATATATATAGGGTTAGGTTCATGTGAGACCACTTGATTTTGTGAGACGGGAAGACCAAATCTTGACCACTCATCCTAAATAATCAAAGGCTAATATTAATTCAGATTAAACCATAAAATAGGCGGTGCCAATTTTGTAAATTAATGGAACTTTGGGATTAGATCAAGACACGGAGGGGCATTAATGGAATTTTGCATTCTTTTTCTTTCAACACACAAAAACAAACACCCGGTACGAACCCTAAAACCCATTTGATCCAAATCGAGATCATCGTTCTGCTTCCAAAATTTCGATCATCGTTCTGCTTCCAAATCTCGATCATTGTTTCAGACTCTAATTCTGATTATACCTGAAATTCATCTTCTGATTATTACACGAAAACCACTCGGTAATCAACTAGAACATTAAAAACATTTCGATTTTGAATTTGATATCGAATCAAATGGCTCATTCTACAGATTCTGATTCTGATTTTGTATCAACAGCTGTTCCAAGTAAGTATAATACTACAAACCTCTTGTTCTTACACAATAAACCTATCTGTTCTTATTATAGAAAGTTTTTTCACTTTAAATCGTGTTGTGTATTCAATAAATGTGTAATAATCGAGATAGTTCACTAACTATTCAGTATGTAAAGGAATATAGCATTATAAAGCATACAATCTAAACCTAAATCTCAGTGTGTGATTTATATAGAGTCTATGTATCTAAATGTTAACTGTACAGAGTGTTCTAATTATTCCCCCATTTCATTTGATCTAAATATTCTTAATCAAAATCAGCAAAGATGTTATGTTATTCTAACTAATTGTTCATCATTTAATTAGATTTAGATCCATAAATTGTCTAATACTATAGATTTTGGTAACACAAATCTCTTATTATGATTGTAGTATATTGTTTAGCCAAAAAAAAATCTTTGTATTCTAGTGAATTTTATGTTGATTGATAAATAGAAATTTGTTGTTATGTATTTATAGAACTGTGACCAGATTATATATCATAAACTAATATGAATTCTAATGGAATTTGATGTTATTGATGCAGCTAAAAAAGTGCAAACAAATGCAACTGTAAGAAAAACAGGGAAAGAAATCTATATCGATATAGGTATAAATTGTGATTACTTTTGGATTATATATTATAATTGCTTTTATTAACCTCTAAATGCTTTTAATAAATATTCTAATTGTTTTTATTTGATAATTTTCTTCATACAGATTCAACAAGTCAAGATAGGGTTAAAAAAGGTATGAACACCCTTTCTTTCAAATAATTCATAAAAAAAACAAATGTTTGGATTTATTTTTCTAATTGATTTTAATTGTAAATCAAAAGAAAAAGAAGACAAACCTTATGTTGATTGATAAATAGAAATTTGTTGTTATGTATTTATAGAACTGTGACCATATTATATATCATAAACTAATATATTCTAATTGATTTATTTTTCTAAGTTAGTTATTCTGAATATTCTAATTTTGTTTTATCATGTATTCTAATTGATTTTAATTGTTAAATTTCATGACAAAAGATTTGTAAATTAATGGAATTTGATGTTATTGATGCAGCTAAAAAAGTGCAAACAAATGCAACTGTAAGAAAAACAGGGAAAGAAATCTATATTGATATAGGTATAAATTGTGATTACTTTTAGATTAAATATTATAATTGCTTTTATTAACCTCTAAATGCTTTTAATAAATATTCTAATTGTTTTTATTTGATAATTTTCTTCATACAGATTCAGCGAGTCAAGATAGGGTTAAAAAAGGTATGAACACACTTTCTTTCAAATAATTCATAAAAAAAAAAAACAAATGTTTGGATTTATTTTTCTAATTTTGTTTTATCATATATTCTAATTGATTTTAATTCTTAAATTTCATGATAAAAGATTTGCAAATTGTAAATCAAAAGAAAAAGAAGGCAGATGAAGGAAAATCAAGGAAAAAAAAAAAAAAAAAAACGTTGTTACTTCTGAAAGTGACTCCGATTCTTCTTCTGATCCATCCTCACATCATAGAAAAAGAATTAAAAAAGGTATCAACAATCATTCTTTAAAACACTTATTCTAATTTTTTGGATTTATTTTTTTCGGTTGATTATTATGAACATTCAAGTTGATTAAAATAAATATTCTAATTTATTTCAATTTTTAAATTTCTTCATACAGCTAAAAATACAAAAAAGAAGAAAATACTTGAAAAGAAAAAAAGACACTATGTTTCAGATTCTTCATCTTTACAGTCAGAGACATCAGAGTCAGAGACATCCACAACAGATAGTGATGAATATGGTAAAATATGTTGTCTTTTATAATATATATGTTGACATCCAATAAAAGTATATTATATTTTTCTAATAGAATAATTATTGATGCAGATAAAGTAAATAAAAAGAAAAAAAGAAAAGTCAAAAAACATTTCAAGCGCCACAAGAAATTAATCCATAATGATGTGAAGCACAAAAAGAAAAAACATGTTTCTGATTCTTCAACAGAATCAGAGACAGAATCATACAACATTCAACGGGTAAAATAATCTAAACTTTTTTTTTTCGTGAAATATGATTTTATACTTTACAATTCCAATATTATGGAACAATATAAATATTAGAGTGTTTCGAAGAATATTTTCATAGACTATGTTTGACATGAATTACTTATGGATCATAATTGAAAATCTTGGTATTTGATGTGAAAGTATTTTTCTATTGTTTATTGATGTGAAAGTATGTTTCTATGATATTACACATTCTATATATTATTATATCATAAATCATGTTATACTTGATTTTTTTGTTGTTTTACTTAGCTGATATAGATTTTGCAAACATTTGAGTTTAATTTTTATAAATAATATAATTTGAATAAATATCTACATTTTACTTAGATGATATAGTATTTTTGGATTAAATTCCGTAGAATATTCTGATATAATAAGTGTATATGTATAATATTCTGTTTGGAATATTACTTTGTAATTAAATGAAATGATTTTTGGATTTTTGTGGGGTTACTAACATCTATGACTGATGTAATGAATTAGATGATGAATCTGATGAAGAAATCTATGTAAAAAAGAGAACCGGTGATAGAAAATATGTTGAAGGAGTGACAAAGATTAAAGAAGCAAAAAGGAAGAGGAATAATAGGGACAATCGTGCAGCAGTATAAGAAACAAAAAACCGTGAAAGAGCAAAAGACTGTGAAAGATATATTGAAGGAGTTGCCTTCAATAAACACTAGATCAACACCTGGATTGATGACAGATGCTGTAAGTTCTTTGACATCAGAACAAAAAGATTGGGTGAAACGGATGAGATTTAAAGCCTTTTTGAAGATCAACATTAAGAGTATTCCCTTAAAACTTTGCCATTTTGTGCTTAAGCATTACGATGAAGGCACAAATAGTATTCTGATTAAAGGAAAAAGAATAAAGATCACAAAGGAAAAAAATTCATAAAGTGTTTGGTTTACCCAAAACTGGAAAAAGCTTATTTGATTTGGACAAGGTTAGTGAAGATCATCAAGTGT